CGCTGAAAAATCGAAAACTACCAACAAATTTTTCGGAATTTGAATGATAGTCAGCGGATTCTCAACTCAAAACTGCTGCGTTCAATAAAGTCAAAGTGGAAGGTTGTTTTCAGTAAGCAAAATTTAGTCAATATCGAAAACTTGAAGAGCTTGAGTAAGAAAGGAAGCTGCGAAAATGTGGGAGAGAAAGTCATAATGGGCAGCTACATCATCGCACCTTCTCTAGTGATACTGGGCTTAAAACTTCAAGCCGTTATGCAAGTGCAAGCATATGCTGGGTGGCTGGTTCCAGCTATGCGTCTGGAGAAAGCTGCTTGAAGCTGAACTTGACGACAAAGTGAATCATTGAGAAACAAACTGTATCTCTCATTCTCATCCCACCTGAACGGATACGACAATTGAAATACCCTTAACCTCACAGTTCACGACAACTACCAGTAATTTTCTGGCTACGTGGCTGAAATTTCGATGCAGAGTAGACCATCGGTGTTGATGAAGACGAGGGGATCAAAAAAAAATCGAAAAATCGAGGAATTCAAAGGCGTTTTATGAGTTCACTGTTTCAAACAACATGGTTGGACTAGTTAATAACGACGAATGATTGGACGAGTTTTCGCGTCGCTAATAGCTGACCAAAGTCGCGTCAGAGCAGCTTCGTTTGGCTATAAGCGCGTAGATGATTGTTTTTTAAACAAACCTGCTCCATTTCGAATGGCATCAGTCTCTCAAAGGCAGCTCAACAAGTCCTTTTTAGAGAGTATGGACGTGCAGTGGACGTCGGGACCGGTTTTCGAGCCCCTATAGCGCCCTATCACCGCATTTTGTCACGACAATGTCCATGTGGCCTTATCAAAAGACAAATAGAAAATCAATCAGACCATTTTAATCACTATTCATGCCTTTTCAAGCTTCAATTTAGGGTATCTGATTCAGAAACTCGACTATATCTATTAGTAAAATAAAAACTGTGAAAAAGGTGCTCTATGGCAATGGTGTTCGAAAATATTCCGTCCTCTTCTCCATCCCCCGCCCCTCACTTTTTTACTACTTTTACGCAATGCGCCATCGGTAGTATGTTCATATAAATAAACTGGAGGAGGTGGTGTAGTGGAAAATGGTGCGCATCACACACTCATGGTCATAGTTCGAATCCCCACTAGGCCAACTGAGCGTTCCATCCCTCCAGGGTCGATTAATTGGTGTCAGACTCGTAAGGGATCAAAGCACTGGCTGTGCATCAGCTAGCCATCGCCACTCATTGTAAAGGCCACATAGCATTCCAAACGTGATTATAATCCTGAATAGAAATCGAAAAAAAACTGCAAAGAAATCGTGGTTGTGTATGAAAAATTTTAAACTTTCACAAAAAAATCTTTATACCCATATGATATGGACCACAACCTGCATGATATGAATCTACACAGTATAATACAGTTGTAATTGGTGGAATGGTCAAATTGGAACCATTCAGATGGTTGATTTCCTGATCACTGCATACTGTAACTTGTTTTCTTTACCGCTGATTCAGTGCTATAAATTGTAAACAAATAAGAATGATCCAGCGTAACGAGACTATCTATACAATTACAACATCAAGTACTGGCTGGTTACTCGTAGATTGTGGTTTGGCACAAGTTGTCACCTTCTAGTACTGAGGGACATGGAACGGACCACCATCGGGGAGTACGTTCCCTTGCCCGTCCGTGACAGTAGTACGGCCTCCAACGGTTGTATAAATGTATGGTACACCATTGACTACAATTGTAAACACATCAACAACATTCCCATTATTATTGTAGACATTTCTGGAGGTGGAAATAGGGCCGCCTGCAACCGTAGCCGTGTAGGGTCTGCCACCGATCGTTGTTTGAATCGTAGAAACACCATTGCTGGTGCTCATCATTACTCCACCAACACCACTGGCTGCGCTCGCCTCATTGATGGATCGTTCAATTTGTCTGGCTAGATTCGCTCCCCAATCGGGACTGAACACTCCAGTCTGAACAGAATGAATTTAGATCATTTAATAATGGATGTAAGGAGCAAGCAAATAATTTTTTAGAGTAATTATTAGGAGCTTTGTCTTACTTATGCAATGATTAGCATTATTACTATTCTCTTAAAAGTAGACTTTTTCAGCCATTTTTTTCTTTCTTTCTTTTTACTCAATAAAACTGTTCCATTCTCCTCCCCAGATAATTTGGTTCTCAAATTTCCAGCGTCGACCTTCGAGATTCGATTACTACGATCAACGATTGCCCGATGATGTTGTTAGGTTTGAAAGAAAAACCAAAAATAAAAACCCTGAAAACTCATTCGCCAACTCAATACTTACTATTATCGAATTATAAATTTTTACTAGACTTTTTATGCAGTGTGGAGGCGAGATCGTGTCGAGCACCACGGCTACCACACTTATGGTTGCAAATCACAGGATCGCAAACTCGGAGTGTGGTGCAGCTTCCCTGATATTGTCGCTTTGCGGCGAAAGCGACGTCGCGCGTTAAGGAATGTAGTGGAATGAAGAGAAAGCATCGCGGCGAGTAAGAAATGCAGGAATAAAAGAAGTAACAGTGGAGGCATGAAAAAATGATAATTGCAAATCGATCGAGTTTTATGAATATTGCTAGAACTGCAATAACAAGGCAACTGATCCGCGAATGCCGCGCGCGGCGAATCGATAACACAAAAGCCAATCAACTACCCGATTGCCGCAAAGTCGCACCAATACCAGCCTAGGTCAACACTAGGTCTTTCATCACACCGTGATCTGTGAGAGGGCAACTAGGACCCGTCATTTCTGTGTCGGGGAGGATTTTGGTTATATTTTATACATTTCATATTACGTTCTTCTGGAGGAGGTGATGTACGTCCAAGAGGAGTAATATCAGCTGAATATCAAAAAGCACAGGCTTGTATATCAGCTGGCTACAACTTGTCATTGCATAGACCTAATACGTAATTGAACGTTATTAAGTTTTCAAAAGAAAGTCGAATTACTGGGCACATTCTATAGATGGTTTGGCCATCGCCAAAACTTTAAAATCTTAACCTTTCTCCGAATAAATTGCAAACGATGTCTTAGAGCTCACCTAAGTAAGGAGAGCGCCTAGTACAACTAAATTCAAAGACTATATGCGCTGACAATAGGGCCTACTATCTCGAGGTGAATTAGAACGAATGGCGCATCCCGCTAATAAACTGAAAGCTGAACGCATTCTGTCTTACCCTGTAGGCTCCATGGTGAAAAGAAGGTGAAATTCTGAATAGAAAGGAGGGGAAATTTTGCAAGAGTTTCATAAACCCACCTGGAAAAAATCTGGTGGAAGCGGATTGAAATCAGCACGAAAAGGATCATAGTTGTTGTAGCCATTGTAATTGGGGTACTGGAAGAATTTGGATTTTTGGATGGAACTGTTCTAATCGATGGTAAAGTATATCACTAGGTCCATACCTGAGCTTGGGCCCATGTGGACATTAGGAAGAGAAGAAAAACTTCTTTCAGGGGGAACATTTCCCGTGTCAAACGGGCACGTTAATGTTTCACTGAATTCCTGTGCATTTATGTGGGCACTCTCTCGTCGGGTGGCATCGATCAACGATGACTCACATCGAAAACAGACGAGACGAAGAAGTCGAGACGGACGTAAAAACCAGTCACCGGAAAATTGGAAATCTCATTTGAACCTTTCAAAAACCGTCTTTTTGACCACTACAATTCCAGCTAAAAACTCGCCATTAATGTGGAACGGCCTTTACAATTCATCTACAGATAATGCCCACAAAACAAAGCTAGTTACTCCATTAACTGGGTTTGGGAGTACCACCATCACCTAAAAAGTACGTCTTGAAACCATTTAGGATGTTTCCTATGTCATTTTTCCGGAATTCCTCTAGATTTCAGCAAATTCGCCCTGCAAACGTGGGCATTATGACACTCCTAACCTGCAGAACAGACGGGTGGGAATCGATGACTGGCTCTATGACTAGCCCGATGACTAGCCCGATGACTACCCGGTTAGCCGGTTTCCTCATGAACCCCAAAGAATTCATTCCAGAACATGCTACAACGGGGGAAATACCAGTAGGACTCGTTAAAATCATAACAAACAATAAAGGGCACAAAAAGATTGAGTATTGTAGCAGGGATGAATCCTATTTTCGGCTGCGCCCTGCATTCGACTTCTACTCAGTACTGTGATGTTGCGAAGACATATGCGTCATATCTCCGTGGCCAGCTCATGTGAGGGTCAGGTCTTGCACCAACCCATACGAGTCTGGTTCCAATTAACCGACCCCGAAGGGATGGAAGTTTAGTTGGCCTGGGCGAATATCAACTTGGATCGAGACTAATGGACCATGCTTGTGACAGTGCGCCCTGCCCATTGGTGCAATACCACCACAGCAGTGTGGGCAAATCGCATTTTCTTTTGAACTCATGTTCCCTAGCACTCTTCAAGCTAGAAGGGCGGAGGTGGGGTAATGCGAAGCGAGGCCCTGTCGTTTATATGAAAAGGAGATCAGACTTCGCTTCGGTAGCTGGCGCTCAATGGGTAGCAGGCTTGTTCATAAAGACAATATGGCCCGAATTGAACGGATTTTTCGTTCGGAAGTCATTCAGCATTATTAGTAACTTTACATATCTATCGGTAAACGCATACTTGAAGTTTTCTCATAGTTTCCGCCCTACACTCTGTTTTTTTTTTCAACTAAAGTGTTCACAGCAGATCCGGAGACCAACGAATGTGCTCAATTCATTTTTTTTTGTTGACTTGTTTTTTGACATATGAATAATTGTAAATAAACACTGACTAGCTTCGATGTGCAGAGTTCAACAGAAAAAAGCCTT